ATTTTTCATAGATACTTCTCATATATTAATTTATTTAAAGATAAAAATTTATTATTTTTAATTATTTTTATTAATTTCAATTAATATTTTATATATTTTTAAGATATTATAAAGCAATAAAACCTATGTACAGCACAACACGTCAACGATAAACAAAGTCATAGTTTATTTAAACTCAATTCAACAAAATAATAACAAATGAGACTACAATTTGAGATAATAAAGTTATTTAAATATTAAAAAATAGATTTTATATTATTTAATAATTAATTTTTTTATTTTTTAAAACTTGTGATATTATATGTATCAACTAATTTAATAATATAACATTAATCCTAATATATTTGTCCTTCCTATCATTGCTTAGTTTAATATGGTCGTGCTTTTCTTTTCTTTTCTTTTGATTTTTTTAGATTTTGCAGCTTTGAACAAAAAAATTATTAGTAATATTATAGAAAAAAGAATTAAAATAATTTTAATACTATTAAACAAGTTTATACTTTTTATCATCAATGTTAAAACTTGTTTTAAACAATTTTTTAATTTTTAATTTTAATTTTCAATAATTACTAAATTTATAAAAACCAAATACTTAAAGTAGTAATTCATGATACTTCCACTATTAATTTCTCCTAAATACTTTTATTCTTATCCTTGTTTCGTTTAAGTTTTAAGGCACAATTATTACCTTATATCCAACAATTTCATATATGCAGGAACTCCTTAATGGACGTCATAGAACCAGTCGTGGATATTGTGAAGGATGTTGTACCTACAGTTAAGAAATATGCCAAGTGTCAGATATGTCACAATGATTATGTCAATGAATTTAAAGAAATGCAAACCAAGCTGGAGCGCCAACGAAAAGATGTTGCTGAAGGACTGCATACTCACCTTATGCAATGTGGGAAGATTGCAATGCAGGAAGTTGAAGCTTGGCTAAAGGAAGCAGACCAAGAAACTGATGAAAAAGTGGTTGAAGATCTAATCTGCAAAGGGGGCTATTTCACATATATTTTCTCTTCAAGAAAGCTTGATAAAAGGACTCAATCATTGACTGAAGGAATATTTAGGCAAGGAGAAAAGTACACTAGTGCAGGTGAGAGTTTGGTCGTAGATACTCCCTCAATTGAGTATTGGGCAACTGTATTTGAAGAAAGGCTGTTGTACCTATGATTTTGATGATTACAAAACACATTTGAGTGACTAATTGGTTCATTTAAGTGTATAGTTAAAATATCAAAAGATTGCAAAGTGAGTAAACTTGGATTGCACTTAAGGCTTGAAAATGTGCAGAGAGCCGGCTGTTGAAACTTGCAGCCGACTATGGCGATGCAGAGAGCCAGCTCTGGAAGCTGCAGCCAGCTCTACGGGTAAAAGGTTAAAAGCAAGCTGTTTGGTGCGCACGGAGAAAAGACACAAAGTCGGCTCCAACTTTGCAGCCAGCTGTGAGGGTGCATTTAATGCACAACGGTCGAGTTATTTGAAGATTATTTAATGTGTTTAACGTTGGAATCCCAAAGCCGGCTCTAGGCTTTGCAGCCGGCTGTGGAAGAAAACAGGATGTGTAGGAAACTCACAAAGCCAACTGCAAAATTTTTAAGCCAGCTCTACGGAGAAAACAAAATGTGCAGAATCCCACAAAGCCAGCTGCAAAAATGGTGAGCTGGCTGTGTAGAGCCGACTTTAGAAAGTTAAGCCGGCTCTCTTGACAATCCTGCAACTTGAGCTTTGCGTACTGCAAAGCATTTAATGACCTCCAACGGCTAGAAAAGACTATTTTCGAGCAAGGGGCTATAAATATGGTTGGTAACAAATCTGGAACAATCTTTAGAGCCTTGCATTGAATATCTTTACCTACCTACATGTGCTTTAACTTGAGTTTTTGATCTTTGAGAGATCTTTACTTGT